GGGCCGCAGCCGTGTCCCGGCCGCCGCGGGGAAGGCGGGGCACGCGTTTAACGGCGCCGGCGAGGAGCCCGCTGGGGAGAGCCTGCGGCGCGGCGCGACTTCGCGTCCCGTTACTTTTGTCACGGACGGATCGCTTAACTCGAGATGCGCCACCGAGAGGGGCCTCGGGCACTCCGAACGCTGCGGTAGGAGCTGCAGCCCGGAGCGACGCGCGGTACCGGGGCTTCGGGCTCCGGAGCCTCGCGCTCCCCAGCGCACTGGCAGGTTTTCCCGTTTTTCTTTCTGCCCCGCGTTGCTCGCTGCGTCCGAAGCTTCGGCCAGACTAGGACCAGTGTTTCGGTTTAGTGTCACTGCCCGCAGTAAAAAAAAAAAAAGTGTGCGATACAGAAAGAAAACTGTGGGAACAGGGAAAAGGTTGATGTAGGGACATGATCCAAAGCCATATTGCAAATGGAAGCAATGTTAAACTACATAAGAAAAACAAAAATAAAAATTTTGCATTTGTAATGTTACCTGAACAATTGTGGATTGTGGACGTTTTTGTAGGCTGGCTGTACACCTACCTTTGAACAAATTCTACGATTTGACTTCTGTGTATCATAGTTATTAAGACCTTATTCTTCAGCTTAGCTTTTGTGATTTCATATTCCAAGCAACAGAATAAATTAACTTGTATAATGGAATGAGGTGTCTTTCCAGGTAGGAGAAGAATGCTGTAGCTATTACAGTGCTGGCCAGTGTGTCTTGAAGCACCTGCATTTTTTTTTTCCTTACTCTGTCACAGACTTCCTCAGTGAAGTTGGGTAAGTCCAGCCCTCATCCTCTCAAGGTGCCCAATACCTCTCCTTTTGTGTCAATTTTTCATCTTTAATAAGGAATTACATTATTTCTTTACTTCAAGCAGATTTTCAGGGTAAAAGTATTAAGGGTTAGTTGTGGCTTGGCTATTTGGCAGTGGATGGGGTGGCAGGAGCTCGTTAGCTTTTCAGGAGTGTTGCTTTGATTAAATAGCACACATAATTTAAATGTGGGATGTAATCAAGTTTAGCTCCTTGATACACAAAATTATCAATTTCTGATATAGTACTTCTTTTTACCTTTTAAAAATTAATTTTCAAGTAGTAATTACATACTAACATGGAACTGCCTCCTGTAGCTGACTTTGTCAGCCACCAAGTAGGATTCATCATGGTAGAAGACTTGTTTGTAGCTAAAATGAATTAGCTGGTCCCACTCTACGCTTCAGAAGATTTGATATGCTTATTAGACATAGTCATCTTTCTCTCCTCACTGCCTAAACTTTCAAAGAATCAGACATAATTAAGTCTACTGGATGACTTTCAGAGTGGCTTACTGTGATCAGTGAGGGAGTCTGAATGCTGATTCTGCAGCCTAAGCAAAGCAAAAATTATCAGAATTGGTTACTTTTGTTTTTTTTACTCAAATCCCTTACACTAGTATTTCCCCTCTCACCTGTGAAATGTAAAGTGCAATTGCTTCTGGATTGCTCTATTTTTTTGTGAGCTAGTTCAGCTGCACGCAGCTGAGCCGAGATCTGACTAGCACAGCCCCTTTAAAACAATAGACAATTATTTCTTTTCCTACAAACTGCCAGGGATTCATGAATCTGTTCCTTTTGCATTTATGTACTTAACTTGCAATTAAATTGTGTTGTTCAAAAGTGGTAATAAGATTGCTAAACCCATGAATCAAAAAGGAAAACCTGAGTTGGAATACATATTGTCTATCCTCAGTATGGAGTTTGAAATCCATATGCTGCTTAAAGGCTCAGTAGAAGCAGGCTTTCCCAGAGATGTAGTTTTGTGTGTGTTAACTGAGATGAATGCCTCACAGTTGTGATTAAAGATAATTCCATTTATCACAGGTTTATGTATGATCTTACATTGCTACTTTAATTTTTCTAGGATAAATATGAATTTTCCCCTGATCTAAAGCAGTTCCATGTCTTGTTTGGTAAGTCTGTATTTAAAAATATTTGGCAGTCATATGTTAATGTGAAAAAGTTCTGGTGAAATGTCTTGCTTGAGGGGATTTCCACAGCACTGAGATGTTTAAACTTTGTTGTATCAACTTTTGGTGAAGGAAACTGTGTAGTATCTCTTCATCATAGGTCTGCCATGCATGACCTCTGTACTGTTTCTTAACCTCTTACTTGACTAACTTGTAGCAGAAAACTTTCTGAACTGGGGCTTATAGGGGCTACTTTTGATGTTTTCCCACTGCCATGTTTAATAAATTACAGCAACTCTGCTAACATTCACTTGTTTCTGTTCTTGAGGACTGTTCCTGTATTCTACGTACACCAGTTGAATCAATCAGACCAGAAGAGCTATCTCAGAGCAGTGTCCATGAATGCCAGGTAAGGAGATAATAGAAACATTAACTGGCAATGTCAAATACAAAGCTGGTACATAATAAAAATAATCTCATTAGGGGGTACTTCATATTAACAGCAAAAATAACCAGAGTATGTTGAGGGCTTCCACTTTGGAAGACGACTGTAGGTAACTAAGCATTACTGTTAGTCTTGTACCAGTTTAAAAATAAAACACACACACACACACACACACACACACACACAAACCCCCAGTAGCTCATAAAACTATCGGTGTAATGGTAAAAGCACCAGCTTGAATATTGTGACTTGAGTACCTGATCTTAGCATTGTAATTAATGTTATTTCTGCATTAATTTTAAACATGTAAATGCTTAAGAATCACATAGTCATTTTGAGAACTGTTTTTTCCTGACTGTTAGGCTGATTCTGATCTAGCTTGGATTCCCCCATCTACAGGAAGGAATGAAATGGTATTTTGCTCTTCTAATGTCTCTCACTATGAACTCCAGCTGGAAATAGGTAACCTAAGTGTACCTTAAAATATTTATTGTTCCTGCAGATATATGCTCTCAATAGGTTATTGCTAACAGCAGTAAATATTAAGTTTGAAAATGTATTATCAGCTGACTTGAACTATTCTTGTGTCTCCTTCGTTCAAAGGAGAGCAGAATATTGCTCATGTTCCAGTAATCACTTATTTTAAGATACAAGACAAGTCAACAATTACCTGAATTTTTCTTCTGATATTTGTGCATGTACATGTCAGTTTTCTAAATCTGTGGTATGTGGACAATAAATAACAGCATTAAGTAACATCATGTCTTGTCACTTGGCTACCCAAGTTGATTGTTCTAAGGATGACTGCCCTGAATCCTATTGTGCATCCATATGTTTATGTGAATATGCATGCTAAAAGTGTTGTTTATTTAGATGTATAATTGCTACTGACCAATGTTTCAACACTTTTAGTTCTAAAAATAGCAGAGCCATGCTTTAACTGTTGCTGGATATATTTTGTTTTTTGTTGCAAGTACTTAAGTTCTTGACAATCTTAAATAAAATGTCATGCTGCTATCAATTGCAATTTTAGAACTGTAAAATTATTTCTAAATACAAAGTAAATTATGTGGTGGATTGTTGTATTTTCCAATGTTAAGGTAGCCACTTCTGGTTTCAGGAAGGAGGTTTAACGATTTAACTTCAGTCTACCTTGCACGGCATACGCCTACAGGCATGCAAGTTGCTGTAAGGATCACAGACCTAGAAAATTGCTCTGAAGAGCATTTGAAAGCCTTACAGGTAAAACAACAGCATTTCTACACAAGTCTGATGAAGGTGGTGATGAATAGATATGAGGTTATTAAACAGAGTTAGCCTTTGTGTTTGTACTTAGTCATTTCAGTCAAGTTTTTGCTTCCAAAGGAACAGAAGGCATGTGTAAATTTGAGAGTTGCTTTCTGAAGAAAACAGTTGACAAGTGTTCTAGAAATACTTCTGTAGATGTACAACTTCTTCTTTTAAACATGTTCTGTACTCTGTATTTAACACCAAAACTTCGGACTATGAGCAAATTAAATTTACTTCAGACAAATGCAATTATAGGCAAGTTATTTACATTTTTATTGAGGGCTGCAACGTTGTATAAATGCACACAGAGAACAGTTCTTTCTACTGATTACTGATGTAGTTAATGCTCTTAGTAAGATGTCTTGTGGTTAACACATCCACTTTTATTTAAATCTATAGAATGAGGTGGTTTTATCCCACTTTTTCCAGCATCCCAATGTAATGACGCTTTGGACAGTGTTTACAGCTGGTAGTTGGCTTTGGGTCATCTCCCCATTCATGGCCTATGGTAAGAACTGTTAACTGCAATTTTGGAACAGGACAAAGAGTTGACACAATCTTGTGGTCCATGAGAGGTTTTTCTTTAAGCATCTCCTATCTTGTAGAAAAACAGATTTCCCAAACCAGTTGTTTAGAGAAGTCTTCTGTACATAATCTTCCTCCCCAGTGAAGACTGGTATTTGAATGGCACTTAGTCCTAACACCCCCCACTATGTGTGGAATGTTAATTTGGAGATGTATTTGACTTTATACAACTTTGAATTTTGCCAACAGAAAACTTGTCTAGGCTGAATAAAGTTTTGACATAGACTTTCAGTTAACAGAAGCATGACTTGAGTGTGATCTTTGCCTGATGAATGTATTAGTTGCATCCATGTAACTGTTCTTGATGTACCATAGTCGATGTAAAGATGAGAATACTGCTCCTGATAAATGTATACAATGAAGCAAGCATAGACAAGTAATTTAACAAGACTTCTTAGGCTTAGCTAGGTTTTTTTCACAACCAGGTTCGGCTAGACACCTGCTGAAGACTTACTTTCCTGAAGGAATGAGTGAAGCTTTGATAGGGAACATTCTGTTTGGTGCAATCAGAGGATTAAATTACATGCACCAGAATGGCTACATTCACAGGTAGGAGAATGTCAGTAGATAAGATAAGAATCAGATTACAGCATCCAGTTTAATAATTCAGTTTTGCTTCAAAACTAATTTTCAGTTTAAGTGTTTTCTCCTTCCTTTTTCTAGATACCTTCTTATGTCAGACAGTGCAGAAGCAATTTTTTTCAGTAATCCAGCAGAAACAAGTTTGTAGAAGCTTAACAAGAACAGTATTCATATATTATTTAAAGCCATTTGTTACAGGGATTATACATCTGTCTGGTTTTGTCTCCTTGAAGCAGAAAAGAATCACAGTTGCTGAAAGGGCTTCCTTACTTTACACTCTTTGCAGGGAAGGAGGGCCATCATGCAGTTTCTGGAAGCTTTTTCATGCTGATCATCTCTCCTCTCTCTTGGGACTGTATTAACAAGACAACTCATATTGACTGAACAACTTCATGAAAATAATCTGCTAAACAGAACTGCACACTAACATCTCACTATCAGTTAATTAAATATGAAAGCCTTTCTACTCGAGTAGTACTTTGAGTAATTCTTATGACTAAAATTTACCACTTTATGTTACAGGAATATTAAAGCTAGCCACATTCTGATTTCAGGGGATGGGCTGGTTTCTCTCTCTGGCTTAAACAACCTCTACAGTTTAGTTAACAATGGACAAAAGTCAAAGGTGGTATATGATTTTCCCCAGTTTAGTACATCTGTGCTTCCTTGGCTGAGTCCTGAACTACTGAGACAGGTTAGTATAAATTACACTTCATTTTTCCTATTCAAAACTACTAGAAGTACTCAACTTCTAACTTAAGTCTGCTTGTAGAAGTGCAATGGAAGCTCTGAACTGCAACTTTTAAATAAAAGTCATAGATGTACTGAATTTGTAATTCTAAAGAGAACCAATTTTAAAGCTGTCAGTAGGATGCTGCTGTACTAAGTCTCTTTAGCTGACCTTCCTGGAAACTACTGTAGATCCTAAAATTTGTCTTCAGTACAACCATCAGAGTTCTGAAAAAAGCCTCAGGTTTCACAATTTAATTACCTCAATCCCATGTACATTACAGGGTATTAGAATATTGTCTTGAAACAGACACTTGTCTTTTTGTCGGCACTGCTCAATGGCATCAGTGATCAGTAGAGTTTTCTTTCTCTCACAGGATTTGTCTGGGTATAACATGAAGTCTGACATTTACAGTGTGGGAATTACAGCATGTGAATTAGCCAATGGACATGTTCCGTTTCAAGATATGCCTCGCACTCAGGTATACTTCAAAACACTCCAAGCTTTTTTTGTTTTACTCAGAGAAACCAATGCTATTACTGCTGAAATGGTGGCTGCTTTTTGTTATTTCAAATACGCATACTTCTTTCTTAGATCAAATAATCCTTCCATTCCTGGAGTTTTATAGCTTAGCCTGAATAGGTCTGCATAATTGTTGAACTCTCATACTGCTATTCCTTTCTACTAGATGCTTCTGCAAAAGCTGAAAGGTCCCACATATTGTCCTTGGGACATAAGTACCTTTCCCTGTGGGGAATCCAGGATGAAGAATTCCCGATCAGGCGTTGATTCTGGAATTGGTGAGAGCATGACACACACAATGACCAGTGAAAGACTACAAATTCCCTTTTCCAAAACGTTTTCACCTGCTTTCCACAACTTGGTAGAGCTTTGCTTGCAACAGGACCCTGAGAAAAGGTAACCTTTTAGTGAAAACTGATTTCCTGTCACTTCAATCTAAGACCAAGTATAGCCCACAATTTAGAATACAGTAATTAGTTGAATATGGTTAAAGTCAGAAGTACTATGCAAACACTACACTTACCTTTTGGGTTTGTAATTTAAGAATTATCTTGCCTGATAAAGGAACCATGCTTTTAAAGTCGTTTGACCCCTGAATTTCTTGTAATATGAATATACTTTGTAACAAGTAAAATTAATTTTTAAACATGTACTTTGTCCAAGAAAAAAACAAACCAGATACACATGTTTTTCAGTACTAGGTCTCTTCTGAATGAGGCATTAAATTCCTTGTTAAACAGAAAAGTGAAAAAGCCTTTAAAAATAGATTTCTTTAGTAGTGCCTTCACTACAAATTGAGGCACAGAATGTAGGAATTTTGTGCTACTTTTCTCATGCTTCACATTTGTCCTGTGGATGAAAAAACATAGGGCTTAAATTGATTTGTCAGTCTGGCCCATTTTCCAAAAGCAGTATTTTACTTTCCAAAACATAATTATATTGTTCATTTTATGATCCAGGCCATCTGCCAGCAGTTTGCTTTCGCATACGTTCTTCAGACAGGTAAGTTTACTACATTTTGTTAAATGACACACCTATAACCTAATAAGCCACAAAATATTAGTTGGATTACAAAATAATTAAGTTAGCAGGAGCCAAAACCCATCCTGTAACAGCATATCTGCTTCAGACTGTTTTTAAAAAACAAAATGGTATTGGTAGACTGTAGGAAGCATAAGAGTAATCCATTTCCCCTTTGATAAAGTTGTTTTAACTTAACTAAAGTCAGGCTAACTAATAAGAATAGCTGTTAATATTCTTAAATTAAAGCAGAACTACACAGCTAATGTAATTAGTCTTGAAAGAACTTACTCTGAGGAAAGCTAAACCCCTCATCCTGTTATTTTCAGTATTGAAACATGCAAGAAGATGGCTCTGATTTCACATGCTTTTAATGTAGTCAGATGCAAGGTTATGTAGACTTTTATGTGGAGCCCTGTTTTAACTTTTCTTCTTTCTAGATAAAAGAACAAACACAGAATTCACTACTGTCTCTATTACCGCCTCCTATTCAAAATAACAGATCAGAGTTCTTGGCACTACCCTCAACAGCAGTTGGGACTGAACTTGGAAATCTTACTGCAAGTCAAGATGATACAGACTGGGAATTCTAAATAAATACCAAACAATCGTACCTCTCCTGCACTTCAAAGAAGGAAAATGTGATTTGTATTTGCTGCTCTAGTTTGTGTGGTTAAAATACAATTAGACAAGTTGTACTTGAAAATGCCATTGAAGTGGCCATATTTCATTAGCTACTTCCTCTGCTGGCATTGTGCAGTGTGCCTCACTTTCTGACCGATAAGGAAAATTGTATATAGAAAATGGCTGAATGCTTATCTCCCTCTTTAAAAATATTTCTTAACAAGAGAGTTCCTGCTGTCATCTTACTCTATACTGTATTTTCAGCTCATACTGCTGCAGTCCCTGTGCCTTTCTGAATTCAGACTTGGGTTTTGTCTGTGACCTTACTTAAACAATCTATTTGGTTTTTTGTTACCACACAGATCATTTTAGTAAAGAGAAATCCTCCACTTCCAAGTTTGCAACTGCACAAATTAGTTGCTTATGCAAATAAACGTTTCTCTCTTCACGCATCCCAAAAGGCATTTTTCTCACTTGGCATGCTGTCATACTTGCCAAAAGTTAGCTATGCATCATTTTTCATGCAGTGTTTAATACTGTGTGTATCCCAAAGAAGTTAAGCTACTTGAAAATGTGACTCATGCTCTTGCATTTGTCTACATTCTTAGTACAAATTTGTGCTTTTGCATCTCCATTTATTGTTGTGTCATTTTAGCAATTAATCTGAGGCCCTCTTACTATGCAAAGTAAGTCTCAAGTTATAACAGGTACGGGTTACTTTTGAAGAATCATATTAAATAATCTAAAGTTACTGTACATATTTTTATTTATACTGTATTCCTATTCACCACCAGAACGTATCAGAACCTAATACTGTTTTCTTTTAAGAATAGTCAACATGCATTAAACTTCACTGGCACTGCTGCTGGCAAACAAGCCTCTTCTGCAAGCCACAGCTGAATCCCCATGGATAGATTCAGCCATAACAAGAACTTGATAAACCCCTTAGGATCTTAGTGAATTTATCTGTTTTAAGTCAGATGAAAAACTGCCTTTCTATACTCCCTACAATTCAATAAGTCTTTATCTCTCATACTCTTATCAAGCAATGCAAACTGAACAAAAGCAGTTTCTTTTTAAAAAAGCTGCATATTCTCGTAGTGTTTTAATAAAAGTTGTATCCCAAAGCCACTAGTACTTTACTCTGACTGTAGTAAAAATGTATAAATAGGTATCAAATGGATATATTTTAAATTGTCAACATAAAAAACATTCCACATTAAGTCTTCAGTCTTCCATAGCTGAGCCAATCTGCAGTCAACCTTGAGAATACTACTGTTTTGCCAGCAGCTTCACTACAAAGCCTTGAAGACCAAATGACTAAAATGCAAGCCTGAGACAGACTTAGAATTCTAAATGACCACATGAAAGTATTAACAAAAAAGTTGATTCTACACATTATGCTGTGAAGAGAGCTCTATATTTCAAAACACATGAAACTTGAGATTAAAAGCCTTTCAATAAACTTACCCTATCTGTCTCTATTTCTGTAATTCTTGCCCTTCTGTTTTTACCACAGTCCAGTTGTCCAGTTATACTAACAGCTTCTTGTTACTGCAGGAAAGATGTTTCATATTTATGTTAGTCCTGCATGACATCTTTCTCTCTGAATGGGAGAGATGTAGGTTTGATGGATGGATAAGGAATTGCCTGGATGGTCACACTCTGAGTTGTGGTCAGTGGCTCAGTGTCCAAGTGAAGAGCAGTGATGAGTGACATTCCTCAGGAGTCAGTGTTGGGACCAGTGCTATTTAACATCTTTGTTGATGACATGGACAGTGGGATTGAGTTAAACTCTCAGCAAGTTTGCTGACAGCACCAAGCTGTGTGGTGCAGTCAACACTCAGGGGGGGGAAGGGATGTGCCACCCTGAGGGACCTGGACAGGCTGGAGAGGTGGGACCGTGCAAACCTCATGGAGTTCAGCAAGGCCAAGTGCAAGGTCCTGCACATGGGTCAGGGCAATCCCAAGCACAAATACAGGCTGGGTGAGGAGTCGATTGAGAGTAGCCCTGGGGAGAGGGGCTTGGGGGTATTAGTGGATGGAAAACTGACTGTGAACCAGCAATGTGCGACCTGGTCTAGTGGAACACAATGACCTGGTCTCTGCCTAATTCACTAGCCTATCACATCAATAAGTTGACAATTCTGATTAAGGTTGCACAGTGTCCCAACACCTTATTTTGTAAATGACCAGTGCCAGAAAAGCTATATAACACCTGTTACCAATCCAAGGATCCACTGAAATGTGAAAAAAAACATTTAACATCAGTTAACACATTAAAGTGAAAGATGCAATAAAGATATTGCAAGAACATTTATTATTATTGCCACCATCATCACTACTACTTCATTATAATTTTTTTTCATCACACCCTTGGGAACATTATCTTCCCACATCAGATTCCAAGGAAGATTTTTCCTTGCCCTCTCACTTTTCTTTGGAAGGGCATTCTGTTATTTTGGAGTGTCACAGTTTGCAGTAACAAATCTTGGAGTATTTCACAGAATTCACCATTTTCTTAGGATTGATTTCCATTTGCTCTGCTTGAATGTTTTGATTCTCAAACTTAAAGCTGATAGTATTTCCTGTAACTTCACTATTAGAGGAATCCAGTGATGCGGTTTAAGAATGTACAGACTGTACTCTGGAGGTCTCTTTAGATGACCTGCAGATACAGGGAACCAGTGTAGGGTCTTGCAGAATACAGTGGCCAACTCAGGTTCTCCTGGAGAGCCTCTTAAATCATGTATTTTTTCTTAAATTATATCAATCAAAAAGAATAATCAGATTTCACATTCAGTGACAATGTATGTATGGCCAAATGTATCACCTATAAAACTTACTGCCCTCTATCTGTCTGCCTCTTGACATATAACTTATTAATCAGGTTTATTGTTGTTGTAGTAGTAGTAATAAAATGTAATGTACTAACACTCAATATGGATAGGAAATATATTACTAACAGATTTTACAGAATTCCCATGAAGCCCTCAGAATATTTATAATGGCTACATGCTCCCGAGAAAAAGACTAATTTAGCACATTTTATTCGAGGATCTCTGTCATCACTGCCCATGATTTTAGTAACTCTTCCATCTAATTCAACCTACCCCTGGAATGTAGAAGAGAAACAATTTTAACACAATAGTTTAAAGCCAAAATCAAACAGTGTCATGTTGGATGAAAATTATAGAGAAAAATCCACAGGAGCATCAACTAAACTTGTCCTGAATAGACTGATATCCCTTCAAAATTGTAATCTATGGTGTTTACAATGATAAGGGGGAAAAAAAAGGCTAATTGCACCAGCCATGGGGAACCAGTCAAGAAAAAATTGCAAACTATAGTTAGCAGCAGCAACAGTCAATGAAACAAAGAAACTGGAAGAAGCACTTAAAGTGACATGGTATAGCCAAAAACCAGGCATGGTTTCAGACAAGTTCATCTTTACTAGTGGAATTTCATGACACATGTAATAATGTAATTAGAAAGCAAGAAACAAAGGGGGTTTGATGGCAGGATGCATAGGTTTACCTCAATTTTTTCAAAATTTACATGACATAGGTCAAGAATATAAATGCTGAGTTTATCTACTACAGTTTATTTTAGAAGTTTGGTTATTCTACATTCTGATATCAGTTATCTTTCTAGTTCTCATATGTTTGATGTCAATGAAAAGCAAAATACTCTTACAGGCAGATTGCCTTTTGCCCATGTGAAATCTGGAAAGCCGCTTTAACTGTTTTCGTGGTTTGAGGTAGCTGTTGTTCTGCAGTAGCCAGTGGAGCCAGACTTGTTGAATGATTTATTTGGCTGGCTGTCATGTTATTTTCCTGCTCCGCTTTCTGCTTCAAGTTTTCCTTATTATGGGAGAACAGATGATTTTGAATCCTTGGACCCCATGGCACGTGATGTTGAAAAAGCTGGTTCAGCATACTTCTCATGTTTTTTCTGTACAACATCACTAGATTTCCTCAGTTTGTTTTTCCTTCTTAAGTTACTTAATATTTGACACAGATGTTGGTGGCATGGCAAGGCACATTTCTTAGGAGCCTTACTACATCACTTGTCTTCGGACTTCCAGTCAGAATTTCTTGACTTTTCTTTTTCCTCATACTCAGCTTATAAAATAAGACACATTTTGGGCAATTTGCTGGAAAAGAGAGCCATGGCCTACAAGTCTATTCTGCTTGAATAATAGCATCATAAGCATTTAAAATGGAGGAAGAAGTTGTTGTTTCAGGTATTCTTGCTCTTTTATCAAAATTTTTAACAATTTCAAAACCTTTTATTGACTGTGCTAGTTCTTTTTTTGCCCCTTCTTTTTTCAGAAGTGGTTGTTGGTTGCTTTGTTTAGGTTTTTTGTTTGGGGTTTTTTTGTGGTTTTTGGTTTGGGAGTTTGCTTTAGGTTTTTTATGGTTTTTTTCCCCCCAAAGTACATTAGTTTTTCACTGTATAGGTTAACTATTACATCTATCAGTGGGTATTTATCCACAAGATCTTGCTTTTTTTTCCTTGCCTTTGTATCACCTGTCTGAGGCGTGCCTGTATCAATTTAAAAAGCCATGCTCTTTTCCATTTTATTGAATACAGTACAAAAGTCAGTATGGCAAACTGCCTAAGGTAGGGAGGACTCTAAAATTTTTTAAGTTTGAAGATTACATAAAACACGGAATTAAAGCAAATGGTTTTATTCATGTATAGGAGCATATAGGAATTTTTTTCTTTTTGACTGGGTTTCCCGTTTTGATTGCAGCTACTGGACAGGCATGGTCTGGCTGCCCCTACCACATAAAGGGCAACGGAAGAGCCAGAAGAATCCAGCTCTGTTCCCATTAAGAAGGCTTTCTTGGGGAGGAACGTGAGGCAGGGATGGAAAGTACTCTATTAAGCAGGCAGACTTCACTTCCACAGGCACACCAGGCTGCAACGACACCCACCAAGAGAAGTGCGGGGCAGGCACCGCGGTGCAGCAGAAGGCCTGTGCCCTCCCGCGACCCCCTCGCGGCCGCGGGGGCTGGCGGGCCCAGGCCGCCCATCGCCCGGCTCCCGCCCTCCCGCCTACACACAATATTA